CTTCCTGCAGCTCCTTGGAAGTTCACAACTTTATTAGCTAGTTTTAATTCCCTTGCACGACCCATTAACCCCCTCTATGATACCCCTCCTTTTCATTGCACGAGGATATTGCCCGTTGTTCGAATAAAAGGGGGGTACTCGCGTGCATGAGCCGGATGCGCCAAACAGGCCGATTGATGCCCTCAGGGTGGGGTGGGGGCACTATGATGGACAAAGGATTAATTGGTTATTAGAGCCCCCGCATCGAAGCTTGCACCCCATAACAACGCCAATCCTACGTACGCGCCCCCTTGCTGCAGATGCCTTATTAAAAGCCGCGCACGCCCCGGGGCCTGTAATATGAAGTGAGGCAGCTTAACGTGGTGCTAAATGAGGTTGGGGGATGGGCTTAGGGTTGGGATGCTAAAATGCGATGCTAAATGGCATACTTAAAGATGGTATTTCGAGTTTTCTTATTAATGCATGAAACAAGTATTCGTTTAGATTCAGTATTTTTTTTCAAGAGCTCCAAATCTCAGTTTTCAACTAGCAAAGGCGGCTACTACCGAAGTACCGTGACCCGGTTCCGCATAGATACTATCTCTAATGTCATATCTCGATTACCCCAAAATCCCCTCAAAAACCACCCCAAGCCTCTCAAATATTCTTCTACCCCATTTTTTCAACCACCCCGAAAAACGACAACCCATTCTCTGGGTGGCCCCGTTTTTCCATCCCAACATTCCAGCCTACACCCACTAACAAAACTGCAATGGCAGACAAAAGATTGCGGACCCATCCACCACCTGCCCATATCCCTCAAAATCCGTTGGCAGACGACGGCCGGAACAAGATCAATCCTTGAATCACTCCCGGACCCCCTCTTTCCACCCAGCTGAAACAGCGCAAGGGATTTCCTCCTCCGCCCTACAGTTTTTTCCTTTCATCTCCATGTCGCGCTGCGGGACGGGGCCGCGACTTTGATAATGCTAACAATCGGCAAACACACGGGTCACAAGAAACGGGGCAATACAAGAATGGCCTCAACGGCTTTTTTACGACATGATACGCATCGCGCGGCCCAGATTTGGAGGTTAAAGTTTTTGAAAAAAAATGGTTTGTTTGTGGGGGTTCAGGACCAGATAAGGGATTACGGGGTTTGGGTTTTGTAACTTTTGAGTGGGTGAGTAAATGGGTTGTGAAACAGGGTGGTGGAAAATGGGAAAATCAACACTGGGTGAACGGTTGGTTGGAAAGAAGTGGAAAATACGGATGTTGAGTCAGTTTCCAAGAATATGAGGCAGGGTTGGGTCGAGTTATAATTAGTAAAATTAGACTCTTAGATTTTGGAAGAATGTTTTCAGCAATAAGACATTCAATGATAAATTCTGGTCAAAACATGAGAGGATAAATTGACAAAGCCATGGCTGAGATTCTTGGAAACAGATCTTTAAATCAAATTTTAAAATTCAATTTGCAACAATAAGGAAAAAATTAGTCGTAATCTTAAAAACATGCCAGTTCTTTCCCCCCAAATACGGTAACATTCCCACAACTACCCGGCTCTCAGGCTCTCACCTCAACTTATCGCGGCAACTTCAGAGCTCCCGAAGACAACCTGTACCGGCTGATTCGATCTGGACACGGTGCACAGATCCTTTAATTTGCCTTGGCGGCTCTCGTTTGTCAGATATCGATGCCGATAAGCTGGTTGCCATCCAACACCCCCCATGCCCTTTTTATGGGCCCACGGGACAAGGCCGTTACAAATTTGGCACTTACTCGAGGTGGGGTTAGGTGTAAGGCACTGAAACTCGGAACACATACGAAAGAGTTAAAATATATTATGTAATGCAAGAAATGTGAAGCCTTGCGGTATATGAATTAGAATTCAAGGAAAATTTACACACATCTTTTCAAGGACAATTCAGGTTCAAAATCCATCAAGCTAAAATGCCAAAAAAATCTTCAATTCTAAAAAAACTATGCCTAAAGATCACTTCTCGGTATCGTAACCCCAAGACAGCTACAATTCAAAGTGCCACAAAAAGGGCATCCGACCCCGTTGCCAAAAATGGGACGCCATTGCCTGCCCCCTTATTGCCGGTTCTTGCTGCGCGAAAAATGGGTTTTGAACCGAAACGGGGCCATCACAATGGGCAGCGCGTGTTTGCGGCCAGCCACAACTGCCTTGGCAATCTGTGCAAACAGCATTGGAAAAGAGGGGAAAAGAGACCCCCGAATCTGGGGCCACTACAAGTTTGTCGAAGCTGCGCGCGATCGGGGGGTTGGCGGGTGATGGTGGACGGATATGGAATGCTGTACACTGAGGATTAGCCCCCGTCATTAACGTGCTTGGATGAGGCGGAATTTAGGGAATATGGCTTGAAATTTTAAAAAATTGGATTTTATCAAGTTGTGAAAAATTAAGATAAACATGCAATTTCGAGAGGAACTGAAAGGTAGTTGCAATGTCTTTAAACGTTGCTCTTGATTGCCCCTTTAAACCCAAATTTACATGAAATAACATATCAGGTTAAAAGAATTAGTAATGATAGAATATTGAGGGTTAAAGGTATCGTACGCAAATCACTCTACGCGAAGATACCTCGCCTCCTTTTTTCCGGCGAAACTTTCTGAGGCTGTACCGCAACTCCTATAAATTTTAGGTGCCAATACATAGAATCCCTACCAGGTAAAGCGTCGCAAAACTTATCAAACAATCAATAGATTGTGTAAATAGAACCTGTCGGCAGATTTTCAAGTGAATAAAAGATTTTACCGTCACTTTCTATCCGACCCGTTATTTTTAACCTAAAACAAAAACCACTCGTGCGACCGTCCACAAACAAATCCAAGATGCCAAATAGGTGGCACATCGCCGTAATTTCCTGGTAGCACCCCCATGGCACACTGCGCACCCATATCCTGAATCTCCCCCACCTACCCTCCAGATTTCGTTGCGTGTTTCCTACGGGTCGAAAGGTGTCAGTGATGCAATGAGGTGTGCACATCGAGTTTCTCTCTCTTTTCTCTCTCTCTCTCTCTCGCTCTCTCTCTTCTCTCTCTCTCTCTCTACACCTATCAAGTAAAGGCATTCGTGTGAATATAGCCACACTTCCTCTCCACGACCCCCACATCGCCTTCACATTTTCCGAAAAAAAGCGGAAACTCCCCGCCGGCCCTCTTATGGCTGGGTCAACATGTTTGTGAAGAGCCCGAACATACCGGGTCAAAACTCAACCAATTCGATTTTTTGACCTAGCCTGTCGAGCGAAAAATCAATGATACCAAGACCTTTCAGTAATAAAGAAAACATTGCAATAAACGATCGTCAAAAGTAGTCATTCATCGCCAGACGGGCACTGGCACTTTATCATCTGTTCAAATAGACCCTGAGCGTTTTTTAGGGAACGCCGTTCCGATTCAGAATATTTTGCCAGTTCTATATTTAGTTCTCAGACCTACATGCATGCAAGCTGGCTTCAAAGTTTTCGAAAATCCCCTGCGAAAATCGACTACCGTAACCTATATGGCACAGCCAATGTCCGATGGCCGCGATCTTGGTCCGAATTTTTCGGTGCGGTGGGTGGTGGAAAGGTTTTTCGTGGATTTTCTGTTTGGGCCGGAGTATTGTGGACGAGAGGGCCATCTTTTGTGAGGCGGCCAATGTCAAACAGACAGCTCGGACACGCCATCAGACACCGGCCACTCTCCCTTCAAACGGCCACCATCCACAAAACGGGGTCGAACGGGGATCGCCGCACTTTTCAAAATGGCACCCCTTGGTCAGAATTTGTAGCGGTTGAGGGGACTCATTTTAAAGGGGGAGGCGGGGCAAAAGGTAGACGTAATGGTTGAAATAAAAAACAGCGTTGTAAATTTGCATGCAACTTCCTTCAGCATCAGGATATTTCGATAATGGTAGAAGTTTAAGGGGCGTGTGATAAGTCATTGGATGTGTAATGGCTCGGAGATATCTGCACGCTGACAAAAATATTAAAAACGCTCCACTTCCGGCGGACGCGGAATTTTAACTGTTTTTCCGTGCAAAATTAAATTTAAATGTCGAATACAGCTGTTTTTGCAAAGCTGACATATGTGCGGTCATTTTGGAACATAATACTAATTAAATTAGTAATTAAATTAAGTCGCGGGCAAAATCCACGCAGACAAACACAAAGGCACGATCTTTGATATTCGAAAGAAGATGGAAAATGAATCAACCATGCACCCTTTGAATCTCAGCGGACCCTTTGTTCTTCCCCCCAGAAATCCCTGATCGTGCCAACTGATCACATCCCCTCCCAATTAACAACCCCCAACCCGGATATGCCTAAGGCAACGCTGCAACCCGCAGAGTTCCTTCCTTCCTCCCCTTCAACCACCCCCATACGGGATAATTGGAGGCCCGTGAAGGATGCCCGGGGCAGATCGGTATGCGCAACTCGGTAAACACCCCCGGCCTTTGACTTTGCACCGACAAGTCGGCTTTGCCCTTCCTGTCAAAGTAACCAAAAATGGGTGGATCTATTTGGATAAGCCACCGATTGCTTCATCTACTCGAGATGAGCGTGTCGCTTTTTGAACGGGATAGTTGGACCGGTAAACAATGTGGGGTCAAAGAAATGGTGACTGGAGAGTTTGGGGTAAATAAGCCGCAGTAAAAATTGCTTTCTACGATCTCCTTATTCTAGATACGATCAAATCAGCTTGCAAGCGGGCAACTCTCAAATTTGAGAAAATTTCAGTCTCGTCGAACTTTGCAAAATAGCTAGCTCAAAATTTCGAAAAAAAGACCCGATTAAAACTTTTATTGGTGTATTTTATTCACTTATTAAAGTGAGACTGTCAAGAGAAGGGTGATTCTCCCGCCTGGCTGTGACTGAACGAATTGTGAGAATTATAAGCATTTACAAATAGACAAAATTACAAATTAGGTACTATAACAATTTATTCCGAATTAGACTAACTTCCTAGCTTTTTCCATAAATCGCTTAACCATATCAGCAGATAGTTCATTCCTCCAATGACGATCCTTCTTAAAATCTGTCCCAACGATGAAGGCATCTGCGGTCTTGTAGCGTTCCATGTTTTCGAACGAAACACCCGAACCGATCAAGATCGGTAGATTGCTGGCGGATTTGGCCTCTTAAAAATGGATAAAAGCTATTAAACGGTCTAACTTCTTACCCTCAACCTCTTCAACCTTTGCCGTCTGGCCTGTAGAAGTTCCGGTAACTATCAGGCCATTCGCTTCAAAAAATTCAGCGGCCTTTGCAGCCTCGCCGACACTTATGTCTGCAGTAACAGAGTGGGAGCTGAAATCCTAAAAAATTGCTGAAATTGGATCCTACCTGTGCTTCTTCTTAATATCACAGAATACTGCAACATCGTCGGCTCCAATCTTTTTACGGTATCGCAGGAGAGGTCCAGCACATCCATCGATCCATCCTTCATCTGCCACACTTGCAAAGACGAACCCTTCTGCGCGAATCAAGTCAAAGCCTGAAAAAATGTGTCAATTTGTTCCTACTACAGTATTGTTGTTTATACATATAACTCCCTTACCCGTCGCATTTGCAACAGCAATTGCCTCCTCATTACATCCGGCCAAGATTTGAATTCCGAGTGACATTGCATCCCGTTTTGAGCCAAACAGATTTGTCACCTCTTCACACGATATAGCCATCGCGGCAACTACCTAACAACAAAAGGTTAACTATAAGTTTTTCAGCTTCAACTTTGGTACCTCCGGGCCGGAAGCTTCCTTCTTAACATACGGGATGTCCCACATATTCTCCACAATTATGCCATCCTTAAAAATATTTCAGAGATACATTATATGCTTACGATTCCGCTGTCTTTATAGATTTTTGCCTCATGTCGAACGATATTTCTAATTTCAGCTATGCCAAGTCGGTTTAAAGGAGCGCTAAAAAGAGGACTGGAATTGATTTCTTTGAATACCCAGGTAATGCAGGTACATGTATCATCCCATAAACAAACGGCCGTTTTAGTTGCGAGATTAATTTTGTCGCGTGGCGTTGCATCCTGAAAAAAAATTAACTATTAGGTGGGAAATGCATATTATTTAAAGTAGCAGTATTCGTGGAAGATACAAGAAGGTCTATAGATTCGTAATGTTGAAGTTTTCCCTTCATTTTGGTTACTTAAAAAAGATGTAAAATTATTTGCAAATCGTGACACTCTAAACGGAATAATTTTAGCTAAGAAATAAAGCGCATATGGATATACATAGTAGTAGGAATTTCCATCGATTTTTAATCCCATAGTTTGACCTCCCAATTTCATCAATGGCAAATTCTTATCAGTAATAGACTATTCTCTTGCACTCGAAATCCATATCATACCCCCAGGGTATCCTATTTGTTGCGCGATCCCGTAAGAGAAGTGGAGGGAATCGAGAGATATTCCGTCAAGTAGGGGTCATTTTCTGTTGTGTGTCTCTGATAGGCAACCAGAAAGGGTTCCGAAGTGGGTCACCCCATCGATTTCAAGGATTCCCCCTCTTCCTAGCCACAATCGGCCCGCAATTTCCGCGAATCCGCGAGCCGAACAGTCTCTTGCGCATAGTAGTAGGAATTGCCCGCGAAGGATGTGGCTGCTCTATTTTTCTTTTGCTACATTATTATATTGTTCCATTATATGGCACTGTATATAGATAGCGTGCAGTATATTTTTACATTTAATATCGAATATCTAGCATCAACATCTATTTTGATAAACCTACGATTAAAACTGTATAACTTGAAACTTAGAGGTAAAAATTCCCTTCTTTTCCAGTCACTAATTTTCACATCCTTGTTATCAAGTACCCATATATAAAGCTACCTTAAAAAAGCTTCACCCAAAATGGAAATTGGTAGTGTTTAACAGGTTTTTACAGGCCCTTCCTTACCCAATTACTAGATCTATAACTAAAACCAATATAGCGAGAAACCCTGTTGTTTTTTTTGCAAACCGATTAATTACTGTGATCTACCCTGACACGTTGTCCTTATCTGTCGAACGGATCTTGTCGCAAAGGCGTAGTCTAGTATACCGATCTCTTTATTCCCTTTCCTCGGGTTTCCCTTGTTGTTTTCTCTCGCAGAAATCGGGCCATCCCACGCCTTTCGCTCCTTCAAAACCCCCTCATCAGCACACCTTTCATTAAACCTTATGAAGTTATAGAAGGCTCTGTATCAAATAATGCCAATATTTAGAAGCGATGAGCCTTGAAGACAAATTCCAGGCAGCCGTTGATATCATTCAGAAATTGCCTAAGGATGGTAGGATAAGACTTTGAGCTTAGGAAATAGAATTCAGGTCCTCTTGCCACATCGAACGAGGAGCTGAAGTATTATGCTTACTTTAAGCAGGTGACCGTTGGTGATGTCAACACGGAGCGCCCAGGAATGTTCAGCTTTGTTGAGAAGGCCAAGTGGTGAGTGAAAAGTTGGACTCAGAATAATGAATTTGTGAATGTTCAGGGATGCCTGGAACGGCGTAAAGGGTACTTCCAAGGAAGAGGCCATGCAAAATACATTGATTGCGTCAACCAGTCATTCGAAAAGGCTTCCGGCCAAATTGACGTCGATGGTGGTTGTCTGGTGATGGACTCGACCCCTCTATCAAGGTATGCACTTTTAACCTACCTTAAACACTTATACCTCTAGCTCAACCTCGCCAAAATCAATGGAAAATAAGAAATCGGTACCAAAATTCGCTCTTTAATCTAATAAATGATTTATTCGACAAGGAAAAGAAACACCGAGAATGAATGGGACAGCACAACCCGTGGAAATGAAATTGTTTCGAGATTGGAGGGGTAATTTAAATGATCAAAAATTATGCGATATGACCTGGCCGCCTTGTTCTTTTGCTTTGTCTTCTTTGTAAGCCAAGTAGTGAAACGTACGGTAGACAATCTAAGGGATTTTTTTAAAATTACCGCCGATGCGCTTACCTGAACAAAAATGAAATCAACGACAATAAGTGAGGCGAGACCTGTCATTGCCAAAGCGGTCACTATACCGATGATGACTAAAAATCAGATAAAAAATTTAGCTTTTTAAGAATTCAAACTTGTATTATCATCCGATTTTCGAAATGATTCCTTAGCGCGGTCAAACTCTGACTGGCCCTTCATATGCTTCAGGTTCTTCCATAAATTCGCCGGCATATTGCCGCCCCGAATTAGCTGCCAGACACACATCAAAAATAATATACAAAGGCACACGGCCCAAATCGTCTGGAAAAGACTTTATAGTAGATTATTGAATACTTACATTGAAGAAAAGATATGGCTTCAAGAAGCCGGATCTCTTTCGAGAAAGGCCACAAAATAGCATGAAAATTGTGAACAGCTCGAAGATTAGGATTAGGATTTCTATCCACGTCGATACACCTAAAATTTAGTTATCATACAACCTTTTAAAACTACCAAATCTTGTGAAACCAAAAACATAAAGTATGCCATTCGCGATCACAGAAAGTAGACTCAAAATGGCAACCGCTCGGCAGCCTTTCTAAAATTGAAATATGTTTGAAACGATTTTCAAATACCATACCATAATATGGACTTTGCCACAACAGCAACTATCACTTGGCATCGGCTCATCTTCAAAATCATAGGTTTGTACAGATTGCTTCTGAGCGCCATCACCGTCTGAAAATTGCCGTAGAGTAATAGCACCAAATTCGATTCCATACTTTTGACAGGTCTCAAAAAATAGAATGGCGTCCTAATGTGACGATACGGCCTTGCGTATCGGTGTTGACGCATAGACTTTTCGGGTCATTTGGGTTGTGACTAGGGTTAGAGGGGGTGAGGCGAGGGTTCAATTTGGGGAAAGTGTGAACGGGTCCCGGGTAGCCGGCGGATATTCACTTGTCTCCGAAAGCTCGATTTCCGCTAGCCTACCCCATCGTCGTTGTGTTCACCCTGGAACGATAGTACATTTTGTTCTGGATCTTGGGAATTAAAGAAGCTTATAATGGTAGATAGGTTATACTAGAAGTACCTCACATCATTTGGCGACCCTTACACACAATCGTCCCCAAAAGCGGATACAAAGCGTATTGGAACTCCAAGAACAAAAATCCAGAACCGCCACATAGCTACAATAGCTCCTAAATTATGACGAAAACACGGGTTTCCATAATTCAACAACCTTTTCCGGCTTGATTTTTGGATTTGCATCGTTTTGCATGGAATTTTCCAAGGACATCTCATTTCGCTTAAGAATTCGATGATTTTCTATGCATAAATTATTTAAATTTGGAACCCTGATATCAGCCATCAATTTAAAAAACCACAAAAATTATTACAATTCGCATGCCCGTTTGCATGGCCATTAGTTTGGGGCAGAACCGGAGAAGCAAGCGCACGGCTTGGAGGTCGACTCGTTTCGTGACTATTCCAATAATATGGCGATCGTCTCCCATTCCCGACGCCGTTTCCATCAAACTTCCGGCTTCTCCTCCCCGCATTTCCGTTCCCAAGGATTCCATTAGTGTGCGCGGTCAACATTGGGGTCGATTCTTTCTCATCTTCTGCCGGAGCCTCGACGACTTGATCTTCCTCTTGATCCATTGCTAGAGGTATGTAAGTAGGCCGAATTTTTATAGTGCAAAAATAAATAGAAAAACAAACTGATTTGTGAGTATAAGAATGAGACATTTATGTGAATTGAGACTCAAAAGTTGCCTAGAAAGAAACAACTGATCAAAAGATGTTGACTATATTCGCTTCTAAAACTGCCAAGACGAATAAGTAGTTTTTATATCACAAGGATTCAGAAATCCACAGCAATTCAGCTACTAACTAAGGAAAAATCTCGCCAAAAACATTCCGAGAAATAGGAACATCTCATTTCGACGCACTAGAGAGCCTAACCAACAAATCCAAAAGCCACCCCAACCCCTCCTCAAAATTCCCCTTCTACCGTAGCGTCCACATCCTCATCAATCATTAATTTCTCCTCACTTCTACCCAACTCCCCACTTTTTCAAGGTGCGTGCAACGCGTGCGCACGAAATGTCGGCTCATGCGTAATGAGTTAAGCCCCCCGGGATGGCTCTGATTTTGGAGAAATTTCCGGTATTCAATGGACTCTGAAAAAGAAGCAAATCACATACTTGGGTGGTGTTGCTTCGAGTGGTTGCGCAGGATGCCATTCTGGGGTAGTCTTGGCAGCTCATCATCTTGCGGGACACGTAATCGGATGCCGATGTCGCCGTTGGATTTTTTAGAGGAGGTGGAGCTGCTTTGACCTTAAAATGTACGCTTATAGATAAATTAGATCCAGACATACAGCTTACAAACTATATACGCATTTTCACCAATTTTCCTTAAGCGGTTTTTAAGTGCGCCGATTTTTGTTGATTTATGCTAATCCTGAAATCACCAAAAAAGGAAAACATTTAGCGGTTAAGATAGATAGATGGGAAGCGTAGGCAAAACAAAATCGTTAAATTCTGAAACTCTATTTCATTACAATAATTTCAAATCATAATTAACACAAATCAACATAATTAGATACTATGAAAATCCACAAGGTAAGTTCTTAAAACTATTTATATTCTATTATCGCAACAAAATTATAATAGATGGTAGCTTTTTTTAGATTATAAGCTCTAAGCCTTCAACTTAAAATAACTTAAAGTGTTTAAATACTAACTTAAAGTACTCAATTACTTAATTATTTAAACATACCTGAAGCACCCCGTCAATGGCCTGCGACGTATTCGGCGCAATGGTTTCGTCAATAGAAGTGCTTGTAAGGTCAGATGACTTTGACGTTGTTGGAAGGGATCTAGAATTAGGACGCTCATCCATTTCTAATTGGCCTGCAAAATGTATCGGGCTGTACGACTGACCGGGATGGGACGAGCGGTGCTCGACGGGGTGTACTACCATTAGGCAATGGCCTCACATCGACTCGCTGTGGTCGAGCCACCTCCATAAATGCATCTAACTCACTCAACGTCTCCGGGGCTCTTCACGGGATTTTTGGGCTCTAGAATTGTTAATTAATTAAGAGATACAGTCGTTTTTTGGCGACAATGGATCGAAAAAGAATCTAGAGCCTGGAATTTTTGCAAAGAGGTCTTTTGCATATTAAAAATTTTTTAGATAATTGCTGAACGTTGACGCGTTTTAATAAAGAGTTTTTTCTAGCTCACCCGTGATAAAGCCCCTGAAAAGTGAATTTTCCGCAAAACCCTCCTCACTCAGTAATTTTCGAAAATAGCGTCGGCTTTTTTTCAGAATTGCAAATTGTCTTGTATTCATTAAATCAGACTACATTCGGCATCATCTAGCACGACTCGATTTTTTCGTATTTCGTAAACGAAAACCAATTAAAATTTAAATCAACGTTCAAAAATTTCGTGAGAAAACTGAAATTAAAGAAATTTTTCCTTATAATTTTTTTGAAAACCACAAATCTCAAAAAAACGCAACAGCAAATACCGCAGAAACCCAAAATTGACACCACCACCTCCCAAAAAAGGCCTCAAATGTTGCGCCCCCCGTTTATGTAAACATATGACACGAACATAAACTAACAAGAATTGAAGCCCAAGGGATGTCCTCCCCCTCCGAGCTTCATCCCCCGATCCTTTTGCCCGAAGTGGGCCACACAGCGTTGAGTGTGAGGTGGCACCGTTTAATGGCCACCATCAATTTGGGCCACTCAGCAAAAGACTGCCGCCCCGGTCTCTATAATAAACGAGTTTTCGCCCACCAAAAAATATCGACCACGACTGGCTGGTGGGGAGCAGCAGCTACCTGGTTGGGGTATACCTGTGAGGTGGGAGGTTTTGCTAAGGGGGAGGAGGGAGGAAGGAATGGAATGTACTGGTTGATGGGTGATTGGGAAGTGATTGGAAAAATGGGAGCTGGCCTTTCCTCCCTGGCAACTGACCAATCAGTGTACTTAAGGAAAGGGCAACGATCATCAATTATTTCCTGGGCAGCAATAACAGAGCATATTGAGCAGGTATACAGGGTGTCCGAATAAAAAAAACAGCTTCCAGACATCTGGCCGTCTTCTATTCGATCTAGGTCAAAATTTTAACAGCGATGGGAACCTTTAAAAACAATACGCAGCCGAGTTTTCTAAGCAAAATATTTTCAAAACAAAAAACTTATAGCCAAAATGAAATTTGGTTCGCCGAATTCCCTGGGATTTTGATGGATTTCAATGCCGAAATATTTGGCAAAAATGTAGAGGGCACTTTTGACTACCTGACCAAATTTTTTTTATTGACGAAAATGATATTTAAATTGGGAAGACGAAAGCTGAGGGGCGGTTTTTTATTGGGACACCCTGTAGAAGGCCTCGTATGTGGCTCTAACATGGATCTGAAAATTTATTTGAACAACTGATTTGCATCGCATAGCCGCACTAAAATTTGTTTAAGTCGTTCGCAAAAATATTAGAGTTTATGCGACATGAAATAGAAATTTAGCAATTTTAAATAATAGATATATAAAAATCCTGTCAACGTCTCAACATCATTAAAAACCAAAAAAAAGGTGTCGTGGTCAACTCGAGTCAGCTTTGTTTAAAGGGTCGGAGAGCTAGGTGGCTAGGTGGCTAGGTCGCTAGGTGCTACGATTCATATAGATTTATCTACACGTGCCGCTCTAGGCGCGTCGGCGCGACGAATCCATTTACGTGTGAAAACAAGCAGCCGAGTAAAAAAAGGCGCGGCACGTACGGCACGAAAACGACGGATTTTGGCGTCTTTTGTCCGTCTTCCGATCCTTCCGTCCTTTTTCAAAAATTCATGGGAATTCATAAATAATACATACTTATATTAACAGAGCAAGTTTTTAATTTTTCGATCTACCAAGCTAGACCAAGAAGAACATGCTAACATCACGTGCTAGCTGGCATTCAGTCATAATCATGAGAATTGACGAGGAACTTAAGGGGCGGACATCAATCATCCATTGGCGGATAGCGGTTGTTAGTGTGGTTCGGCTTGTTCGACTGGAAGGCAAGAGAACATGAGGATAGTACTAATTGGAGGTTGAAGAGGACGATCCGGGTTTTGCCGGGAGTCAGGATCCGGACGCGAAGTGAAAGGCAAAAAATGCAAAACGAAACAAATTGATCTAGAGAGCTTTGCTAAATTTAAAGGACAAAAAAAATCAGCAAGCTTTAAGATTTTTTAGCAGTGCTCTTCTTTAAAATAATCTGGGTTTAAATGCTGCGCCAAGAAACAATTAAAAATTTAGGCTAAAGGATTAAAGGGCCCAATTTTCTTCGCCCTTTTTATTTGTGCTTAATCCGAGACCCTTGAGAAGAACAAAGTGGATCTAATAAGGAGAATGATAGTTGTAGTAAAATGTAAACGCTAAAACAACTACGAATAGTTTGGCTCCACAGCTCGTGAGCATAGATCCAATTCCAGGTAAGCACCAAGCACCCAAGCAACAGCTCATCTAATTGGGCGTTGAGCCAACGCTGTCTCCCCCCAAATCCCAACTGAGACCCATCCCCCCTCATCCTCCCCCCAATAGCACTCCTCCCCTCAAGCGATCGTGTGGAGAAAAATTAGCTGTGGAGAAGAAGGACGGCTCCTCCTGAGCACGAGCAATCTCGAGGCTCATAGAGCCGTTAGGGCACACACACACACAGATACCTGAACAGGCAGAGGAGGACCCACATAGCATTTCCCCCAATCGAGCAGCAGCTGGTCGATCCCCCGCCCTCATTCATCACCAACTCCCTCAAGCTCCTTCTTCCCCCCATCCATGCTCAATCCACTCACCTCTTCCTCCCTTGCCCCCCCTATCAGACCGCAATAAATCCATTCATGATTTTGTTTTTCCAGGGCTGGTTGGCTGAATGGGTGGAGGTGGCTGACAGGTTTTTCTGGTATATATGTTTTTGACGGGTTATAGTGAAAAACAGGGTACCGAATCTTAACCTTATTAAGAATTGTTCTAGCTATAACTGTGAGAGGCCAAAACAAAGGCAAAGTGGGCGCTAGGCCGTAAAATACTATGTTCTAATTCCGGGTTAATACAGTATAGAAATTCCAAAATTCGGACGATCTTCGCTTTCCTTCTCAATGTAAATTATTTCCCAAAAAACTTTAAACCACAATATTCTTGAAACCCACATTTACACGTCCAAATCAATGCCTCAAAAACGTCATTTACCAGTGGTTGCCCAGATATACATATAATTTCAAAACACACACAAAATTAAGGTCAAGGTAACGCATCGCTTTTCAAAATCTTCCGCCGCTTCTCCTCATTTTCTTCCTCAAGGTCAGCAATATCAACCGGTAGCGGACCCATCCATCAGTCCGCTTTCCACCCGTTGCGCTTCGAAACCTTACCGACATCGAGTTCTTGAACAGCTGCAACGGCCTCTTTATGAAAATACTACATTATATATGTTTACAAGATTCAAAACCGATAAAATTGGCTAGTTTTTGAAAATTCTTGACACCATTCAAAAGCAAAAACACCCCCATGACGGCTAAAAATAAAAAGAAAATTTTCGCGCCTACCTGGATTCGTTGGATCCCGCAAACTTTCGACTTGACCCGGAAGTGCGGCCGGCGGAGCCATGGGGACTCGAGACGGCATTGCGGAAGCCGAATTGAATGAGCCTGCAACCGTGAAACTAGAATGCGTCGATGCTCATGATGAAATAAGCCCCCTCAAACCAAACAAACACCTTCAAACACATACCACTTAAGGAAGAGCCAATCTTCTGACCAGTCAATAGTTTTATCGAAATTGCTTTGGAATGTAGCGCCTTTAACCGCTCGTTTTGCTTTAGAATTCTCTTAATTCTAAAGAAAAACTTGTTTAGATATCGAAATTCTAGACAAACTTCTCTTTCTTCGCCTTCCATACCAAATATAGTTTGTAGCATAAGTAGATTACAGGCATTAATAGGATTGAACAAATCAATATAATGAACAGCACCACATTCTCATTTTTGTGTGGATTCTCGGGGATTGCAGTGGACGTGGATGGGTCCGTCATCTGGAATTGTGGTAAGAGGGTGAGAAGAAAATAGCATGAGAAGCTTGCGAGCCGACCGGAAGAAGTGGGCAGGATAAACAAGTTGTTGAACAGCCATGTAAACCGATTGCTACCAAAATATGATGTGAGTTCAGCATGTTTTTTAGGTTTGGGCTGATCGAAAATTAGAATGGCTGGTATTGCATTTAAAAAAATTAGCATTTAGCATAGGTTATTCATGTGTTTGTGAAATGTCTATATGATAACGTTTCGAATGTCGGAAAGGTCTGCTGGGTTCAACTTTTTGAACAAGATTAGTTAAAGGTTTATTTTACGCAAAGAAAATTTAGGACGGGGTTACTGTAGGAAAGGAACGTCAAGAAATCTTGAAACCGAAAGGGAAAAGAAGGGAAAACGAGGAATCGGCGGGTTAAAATGATCTAAGAAATTTAGATAAATTAGAATAAATAGATTTAGTGAATACGATTGAGATCCAGATGTTTTCAATCACAAACTTTAATTATATAACCTAATACCAAACGAAAATCGATCGCCGATGGCGAAATTGTACCACAAGACTCCTGAATTTAAAAATATGCAACTAACAAAGGAAAGACTTGAATAGACATCCAAGAATGAGCAGCCTGGAAATGCATGGTTGGGGGAGTTTTCTTGAGGGTGGAGGAAAACATGGGCCTGGGGGAGCATAGCAGGGTGGATGGCCAATTTATTCGGGTGGCCACCCCGGAGGTGGAAGACTTTTTAGGAGGGCCATAAGCGAGGGAGCAAGAGGGGTGGAAGGGAGCCATAAAACGAGAGGACTAGAGACACCCCCTTACACCTATGAGGGGGACCGAAGTCTACGGGGCTTCTAGTACTTCCTGCCGTTGGTGGTGGTGGCCAAGTGTCCACTTTGTCGTGTAGATCCGCTTGAATATTGCCCCGAGGCACACGAAGCTGTGAAACCTAAAAAAGGTCAAAGCTATTTGTAAACGAAGGGGGAAGGAGGGAAGGAAATAATGGGGGCCCAACTGAGGGGTCAAAGGGACCGCGCGTGCAAAGAAGGGGGGAATGTTACGTAGTTGAATTGGGTTACCACGCTGCAGGTTTCAAAATCGGTTTCGAAATGGATATTTAGGGAGTGATCTAACAAGGAGACGTTTTTAGGTGGGCACGGAGTTTCGTAACGAGACCTAGCTCATTCGGAAGAGCTTGAAAAACTGAGCAAGGTCCCGTTTTACATTTCTGCGAAACGATAGCGATTGATTTTTAATAATTAAATTAAAGAATTAGGAGAATTGGCATGATTCCCCTCGCGCGGAGCGATTTCCTTCAAGATATCCCCTCTGTCGGAAAGCCAGGCCCCGTCTCCCCCTCCCCATAGCGATTTGGCGGAATCGGTACGGCGTTCGCCTCTCACGAAATTTTTGGACCTTTTGGCAGTTCGACCCCTGAGCCCAGAATTCGTTTTGCTTTTTATTTTAGGAGGCTGAATTTATTATTTATTGTAATTTAATTATCGCAATGCGTTACATATATGTTCTGAACAGCATCGGTGTAGGCCCAAGCGGGCCAGTTGATTTCAATCGCGGAGACGCGAGTGCAACGCTACCGGTTTGGGGCATACCACAAAAAAAAAATAATTTTGGACTAGATTCTACGTTTAGAAAGTGTTCAGGAATTAAAAAGCAAAACGAATTCTAAGCTCAGGGGTCGAACTGACAACAGTCCAAAAAAATTTCGTGAGAGGCAAACGCCGTACCGACTGCGCCAAATCGCTATGGGGGAAGGGAAGACGGGGCCTGGCTTCCGACAGTGGGGATCTATGAAGGAAATCGCTCCGCGCGAGGGGAATCACACCAATTTATGCTAATTCTTTAATTTAATTATTAAAAATCAATCGCTATCGTTTCGCAGAAATGGAAAACGGGTACTTGCTCAGTTTTTCAAGCTCTTTCGAATGAGCTAGGTCTCGTTACGAAACTCCGTGCCCACCTAAAACGTCTCCTTGTAAGCATTGCCTAAATTTTTTTGTTTTATGATTATTATGTCTCGTGTATCGTTTTAACTATTATGGTAAAAGGGTTGTTTTCATTTTGTCGAAAATTAGACGGCCGAAATTCATTTTTCCAAAATTTAATCTTGATGGAAAAATAATATTGTCAATTTTTAATTTTATGGGAAGTTCAGTGCACCAAAATTCTAATTTTCTACATGTTTGGAATTAAAAAAAATTCGGTAAAATGAAATCTGATAACGCGAAATTTCGACAAAAGGCAATATCGGCAAAATGAATTTCGGCGTACTAATAGCAAATTCATAATAGCGTATCATTAAATCCGTAAGTAATTATTTGATTGTTTAGGTGTTTTGCTTACAAGGAGACGTTTTTTAGTGTGAATGGAGTTTTAAGTTGAAACCAGGCCTATTCTGTGCAGAATTTTGCGCTGATTCCGATGCTGTTTTCCAATTTTGCTAAATAGCTCGATTTAAAAGTTACAGCGATTTTAAGCTAATTTTTAGGCCCAGAGTAGCCATATGCTATGCTGTGCTACTTTTTTGTTATAACGTCTTAATTTTTGTTTAAGTAGCCTATCTTGTAGAGAATTTTTTTCTGATTCGAATGGTATATTTCATTAGTGCGCTACTGCCGATCGACGATGGCTTACAGGGGTGACGAATAGGCTGTTTTTCACCATTTCCCATACAAAAATCGCAGCCCATACCAAGTATCGTCGATTTTTTCGATTTTCAACAATTTTGAGTTAAATAGCACATTCGATAGAGAAAATTTTTCTGAAGACGGTGACGATGCTTATTTTTGGAAAAACAGCCGGGAAAAGCAATATATTGGTCCCTAAAGAGGGGAAAATTTGGGCTAAAATGATCTTAAAATTGCTATAACTTTTGAAATCGAGCTATTTAGCAGAAATGGAAAACATATTCGGAATCAGCGCAAAATTCTGCACAAAATAGGCCTGGTTTCCACTCAGAACTCCATTCACACCAAAAAACGTCTCCTTGTTAGTAGGAAACATACACCAATGATCTTCTGCGTCTCGCTTGGCCCCAGTCCCTCAGCAAAAATAAGTGGATACTTAGTAAAGCCTTAATTTTAGGGTTTACTAATTTAGAATTAAGATAAATCTAATATTATACGCGCTATGCAGCACTTTTAGATGTTTTGGTCCACTTCATAACGTAACTTACTTGAAATACACAACCATTGGCCCAATAGCATATATCACATATGGATACATTTCGCTCGATTCATATATCGGCAGATCCGTCTTTAAACTCTCATAAGAACTCAGCACAAACAGTGCCCCATTCGCAATCATCAAAAATATCACCGAATGCATCCCGGGAATCCCCTATCGTCACGACGCTCGAATTTGAATAACCTAAACCCATTCGCATTTCCACCTCTGCATCCCCCACCTCGAGCTCAGAAGAATAAAAATGGCCTGGGCCACGTTGGCGGCAAGCCGGAAAATGTAGAGGAGAAGAAAATAAAAAGCTTTGAAGGGGGCATGCCTTGGATCGCTTCCGTTCACCGTCAACCAAAGGTCAAGCGCTGGAAGATATCGGGTACAGTAGCGTGCAAAAAGAAGGCAACACCCAGGACGCTCTTGTAACCCGGCTCCCTCGTTGTATTTTGCGCCAAACGAAATGTTTCCTAGTGTTTTCAACGCTGTAGAATTCGATGAGCAAGGTGTCAAGCTGCTAAAATGACGTTTAGTAGCTTTAATATCGATTTTAAAATAGCTCCAAAAATCGACTTTTTCTAAAGGCATTTTTCCGTTTCAAAAACGTCACCATCGTGTTCAGCATGGTCGATCTACCCAAAGTCAATGGTTCTGATTTCTTAGGACGTCTTCAGTCGGCTAGGAAGCTGCGATTAATAGGTGTCGCCATCGGCCTGATGGGGCGCCTGCAATACCTTTCCCCCAGACGAGCCCACTTCTTGACTCGTTTGGCACACGGAAAACCCGGCTTCCCAGCTGAGCCAAGTCAAATCCCATCACAAACGACATCGAGTCGGGGTAAATCGATCATGCTGGACACGATGGTGATGTTTTTGAAACGGAAAAATGCCTTTAGAAAAAGTAGATTTTTGGAGCTATTTTAAATTCGATATTTAAGCTACTAAACGTCATTTTAGCAGCTTGACACCTTGCTCATCGAATTCTACAGCGTTGAAAACACTAGGAAACATTTCGTCGGCGCAAAATACAACGAGGGAGCCGGGTTACAAGAGCTTCCTGGGTGTTGCCTTCTTTTTGCACGCTACTGTAAATATGGGTAAGATTTTGGACTTACCAATAATTGCATAAACGACTTCCCCAAAAAGGCCAATTATTAACAGCATTTCATCCAACAGTACCGATCCTTTTTTGTAGACATCCATACGATAGTTTAATTCGCGCATCCTGAGGGTTACGGCAACGTTTATGACGAAATACCTCCATAAACCAATTAAAACAACGGAGAGCAGCATTAAGTACAAAACTAAACTGACAACCCCGTAAAAGCAATATTTCTTTCCCGCGTCTTCATCCTGTAATCATTACATACCGAATTAAAGGTATGATTACCTTTTCATAAACCGCATGTATGATAATTAGGAAAAAGGACAGCACCATGAAAATAATACCGGAAAAGATTCCAGCGCTGAATAAGCTAAAAAAGTTTATTTGATTATTGGCATCAAAGCGTTGTTTTACCTGGTGTCTACTTGAAGGCCAGAAATTTTGTTAAATTGTTGAATTTCCGAGTCTCTACCAATTTGCATCCACATTACCAATAACAATGCTGAGCAGATTATGAAGAATTCCACTAAGGTAAACAGCCTATAGAGGTTAAAAACCTATAAACCTACCCAGACAAGTCACCAAAATCGTTGTCGGTCCAGTACCAATATATCCTTCGACTTTCAAATCCAAATCGATAATAAAATCAGTAGAAATATTTGGAATATGCTTCTTTTGACTGTGGACCTGAATAAAAAAATCTCCAAATTTATTCAACCTAACCCCTTCCACAAAGATATATCGTATCCATGAATATACATTAACAGCCGTTACATGCATCAACCCAAAGCAATAAATGGCTTTTGAGCGTTCGACAATAATCTAGAAATAATACCCAGTTGTAGATAAGAACGATACCTTTGAATGGGCAAAGATAAAATGCATTTGCACGAAAACGAAAATTATCGTCAGCACAAATTTAGTAATTTGTATAGCGTTTTCACCACCTCCTTCTTCTAGCCTTGCGATTATTTCTGAGGAAAGGAGCACGAGGCCAAGGAGCCCGAATGCTAAACATCACATAAGTCTCTGAAAAAAAGCCAGAGTGATACCCAGCAGCCCAAATCTGAGATATAGACTAGCCGTCGAGTCTGGCTTCTTCGAGCATTTGGTTAACGTCCAATTCTAAACCTGACAAATTGCAGCTAGAAAACTTACATTATCTTCTAAAACCCTCATGCTGATTAGGGCGCTTTGAAAATGTTCGAACCATCCGACATAAATATATCCCAGATAGCAATAGATAAAAAACAGGATTCCAACGCCATACATCCAAAAATAAAATATCTAGGTAAATATAGAAGCATAGGAGTTCAAATAACCATACCAATTCGCTGGTATTTAATTGATTGGTCCATGTCGGGGAGATTTCGATAAAAACTGCTGCTACAGTAAGTGTTAATCCATACAATAAACTCAACAATGAGCAGAAGAAACTACTAAACACACCCTTAAACATATTCCAGTTTTAGCAAACCATGCTTTCGGGTTGTTAACCCATTTCTGTGCCAAATAGCGCGCGGTGCTCTTCGGATCGTCAGCCGGTGGATTTCGCTCGGTGTCGACAAATTGTAGACGTTCAGGGTTAATTTCTGGAGCTGTAGTGTCCATCGTAAGGTATGGGGAATAATGGTTGGGTTGATGGTAGTGCCCTGATGTGGGCCAATGTTTGCAAATAGTGCAGGGAGGTGTCCGAAGGCTTCAGGTTGCCAGCGCCACATTAGTTGATTGCTTTCACTTTAATGTTGCAGACTCGAGGCGTATGTTCATAACAATGAAAGAAAACCTAAGAGTTAGTAAAAAATGGTAAAATATTTATAAAAAACGATGATACCAACAAAATATTAACGCATTAGTGAATTTGTCTACCAACTGCAACTACGAATTTTCGGTCATATGACCCATTGCATTTAATTTCCAAGCTTTCAGAAATGGCGTAGTATCCAAGGTCTTGCGCTGAAATGTAAATTAGTCAAGCACATAATATACAAATTTTTATACTTATTAATCCGTTTTATGATAGTTGGTGCAGCAGAATTTTTCCCGGAAATCTGAAATCTTTTCCACTCACTCCGTTCCAACTCAATTCTATTTCCAGTAATTGACCAAAAAGGCAATGTAGATCCAGCATTTTCTCTACACCCGCTATCTGCTTACGATATTTATTTCGGCCTGGGTTGCCAGGCGCCGGCTGTCACGCGTTGCGGCTGTGAATAACCAGGCTTTTCTTTTCGTAGTTTCATTGCGTTATGCTTATTTTTTCTCGGCCTAATATCAATTCAGGGATTCCGGAAAATAGAATTTTTGTTCCATGGGGTCTAGAAATCGTCTTAGACAATTTCACAATAGTTTTTCCATTTCTTTATCAATATTTTCCTGATAATTGGGCATAACAGATTTTAACCTCGTCGTTGTTAATAGGAAATATATCTTAGATGTTTAAGAAACGGCAATTTTTATAGTCGGTTGTGCATTTCTGAAGAGAAAAATAATCTTGGGCAAAAGTAACAAACCTAAATTTTTCGCAGGTCGGATGCCCTTTTTAAAGTTTTTTTTTGTACGACGACTTTTCACCTTTTATGATTTTACTGATTTATCTCTAATACAAATTTTCGGTATTCGGAGAAAAACATTTTAATAGGTATGGAAATAGAAGCGATGGATGACGCACCGGATAACCCGGAGTCGCCGGAACCTGCGGAACCTTTCGACTTCTTGGATCTTCCCCTTCTAGCTCAAGAAGAAATCTTGGCAAATGTCGGCTTGATAGAGCGGGCTCGAATTTGCCAGACCTCGAAGGTAGTCCTTAGACACACTTAGATCTTATAGAAATTCAATTAACCAAAATACCTTTCAGTATATGCATCATATGATCGAACAACATGGGTGTCTGCCAGAAAAGATGATTCGTGCTCACGTAGAGGCTAGGGCTGATGAGGTACCCGAGTCTGATTTTGTAAATTATTTCTGGAAAATTTTAGTTGCGTGTTAGTCTCTACGACGAATATCGTGATCGATACATTGCTATCCTCGACAAGAACTCCTTCAAATTTAAGATGGGGTTAGACTACATTATCTATCCGCTACCCAAAAGAACTTTTAGGCTTGAATCGACAAAAGTTTGGGAGGACAAGCCGAGCTATGAAACGGCTAACCGGATGTTGAAGCATGTTCGACCACGTTTTACGTATTTCACAAATTATGTCGATGATATGGTAGGAAGGATGCCCTGAAAGTTAACCTTTTTTAGCCGCCCGAGCCTTTGACGAAATTCGACCTAGTGCGACAATCGATATGCGTATCGCTGAGTTTTATCTGCCTGGGAAGTCTGCTGGAACGGATGCGCGAGCGAGGGTTTTACAAAACTGAAGTGGTCAGTTATTTTTGTCAATTTTTAAATAACTCTATTTTAGCTGAATTTCGTGTGGATTCGGAACGGGCGTTCTTGTTTTAATACAGCCCCTTGTAAAGACTGCGTGGGAGGCTATGAGCAGCTACTTGAATACGTTAGTTGAAGCTTGGTATTTACGAAAATTCGTGTATATAGTTGCCACAATGTCGGAAGATCTATCTGCGTTCTCGGGTGGAGATTGATGAAGGACCGGTGGTGTTGGGGCCACGTTTTATGTGTCCCTGGAAGCCAACGGAAGACAGCATTTTGAATATTCTATTGGTAGGTTATAATAATAATAATAATAAATATTAGAAACCAACGGCTTAGATTTATAGCATTTAAAACATTTCAGTTGCGCAAAAAAGAAGTTCTCTTCCAACCAAAACCCCGATTAGTCGCTATCGATTTGGAAAATTGCGATATTGAAGGGCTCTTCAGGATTATCGAAAAGTTGGAGGTATATAGCAAGATTAAAGCTATATAAAACAATATAGTAACTGATTTTTGATCTTTTTTATAGTTTGTCGGGGACCCGGTCTACACAAAAGAAGAAAACATGTACATCTATGTCCTCTGTCGCAGCACTTATGGCTACAACGCATTCATTATTATTCAGGTATAGATACCAAAATAGGTGTCACTGGTAATTTCAGAATTTCGAGCTTTGCTACATCGGACATCACTATCTAAATTATGAACATATGCTGTCAGAGCTGCGGGACACAAATCGACGATATCCAGTCGTTTGCCGCCCAAAATAATTTTGCATAATGTTATGTCAGGATTACGGGATCCCTTAATAGTCATAGTACCATAGTCAAGTTTAGTCAAAAATTCATGTAGTTATAGTCAATTCGTCTCGTTTGATTTTCTATGTGCAAATTATTTCTACACCGATGACATGACTTTGCAAGGTCGAATAACTGGGAAGATCCTCTATATCAAATTCATCAAAGAACTTATTTGAAAGTGATGTCGCTTTACATAAATTTTTAGGGAGCTAAAAATTATTTAATATTTTAAAGCTTAGAAGGTTTATTACAAGATGTTCAGCGCCTAGATGAATTAGATTGGAAAGCTATATTTTGCAAAAAGCAGAAGGTTTGATGGATAGTTGCTGAAGATATTTTGGAATGCTCAAAAACTAAAAAAATAGTATTGAAGGTATTGCTCTCCATAGAAAATTGGAATTCCGGTTATTCGTCTTTTACACCTTATTATGAAAGATTCTTATGATATATACCTTCCAACCTTTGCTTGCTGTGCAGCGCTTGTTGGCAAAGCTCTACCATTCCTCCAATTCGATGCGATTCCCCGCATGTATGCATTCCAGCAATTTCCGCATAGATCTCTATTACGCAAAAGCCTGATAGGCGTCCGGTTTACTTGGTCATTAAAATATCACCCCGACACCGGTATGCAATGTTGGTGATTTGAGGTCAGTGCTCATCCCCCCATATTCTATTATATTTTAAAGAATTGTACCTTATTTACATAATTTTAATTCATAAAGTACCTCATTACATTACATATACCACACACGAGCATTGAGTTAAAGGGCGACAGACGGCTTACGTCGACCCCCCCCCCCGCCCTTGGGCAAGGGGGCTCGACTTTTTGGCAAGTTGCCAACATGGGGAAGGCGCGGGCCCATTTTTTTCCCAACGTAACCGATTGACTAAAACGAAAAACGTCAGTTGAACCATTTGCATCCAATCTATTTGGGGAATTAAAAAAAAAACACGCGGACTAGCACACTTTTTTCAAAACAAACATGTATCACTTTCAAAAGTCAAACCGTTATTTGAATTGTCTTTTCTCGGCATCGTCGCTTTCAAAGTTCAAGTGCATCCGTGTGATGTCTGCCAAAAAATCAAACTGTCAACCCAGTTTTAGGCAAGCAAATATGAAACCTCGGGCAAAAACAGCAACCCCGGCTGTTTAGTTTGCAAACAATATCGACAGCTTTCGGAATCGTGGCGCGACTTCCGAAAAAGAGCATAAACTACATGCTAGGATGTATTTTGTTGAATTGGAAGCAATTTTATAAGCATGAACGCTTTTTAAAACAAATCAAATGTCAATTATTTTGTGTGTATGGCGTTTTTTTGGATCAACTTTAGGACATAAATTTTATTCACCAACCACAATAAAAACAACACAAAGAGATCCAAACGCAATTCAAAGTATTGGTCATTTCCACAAGGCACCCGATCAACACTCACAATTCGACAACTAGCATGAAAAGTGCACATAAGAATAACGAAATTCCCGGCAGTAAGCACAAACGATCTACTCAAATAATATGTGTATGTACAACTGGGAAGTATGAGATCCGGATTAACCGAATTTAAGGATTGCACAGACAATTTACAAAGTTTTCAAGGTTGTTAGTGGCCAGCGGTCGAGTCGATTGTCATTGTAAAAGAGGCGGAGGAAGAGCTGTCCCCAGCTTTTGTATTGTATGTCCTTTTGAAGATATCCACGAGGCACACCGAGCTGTGGAATCTAAATAAATAGGTATTCAGTGTAAGTCATTATGCGAGTCCTTACCTATAGAATACGACGAGTGGCGAGACACCATACATGATATAAGGATATGCTGCTGAAGAAGCAGACAATGGAAGAGTGCTCTTCATCGATTCATAAGTATGGAAGAAAAAGAGGGCCACGTTGGCCACTAGGAGGAAAGTGACGGACTGCTTTCCGGGCTTGATTTTTGTTTCTTCGGCTCCACGAGCTACCAGCCTGAAATGTTAAATTGCATTAACAATACGATAACGTTTTACTACAAGAGTTGCTTATCGTTGTCGCAAAATATAACTATACAACAATTATGCAGTGCATGTTTCGACATTTGAAGTGCTGCTTCGAAGTTTTGCAACACTTACCTCGAGCTAATCATGATAAAAACAGCTTGGAAAAACACGGCTAACAATCGGCATATATACACTGGTAGATCGTAGTTTGGCATCCGATATTTCTTCATCGGATTTGTGGTAACCCAAAGATCGATTGCTAAAAATTAGGCATAAATTTAAAGTTTGAAGCCTTGCACTTACCAATACAGCAATAGACGATCTCCCCAAATAACCCGAACACTAATAAAATCTCATCGAGCATCTCCCCACTATGATGGCTGTGATCTTTACGATATTGAAGAACACGCATTCTAAAATATGGGCATTAAAAAGTTCTAGCACTTTCAAGAGGGTTAGTAGCAAGCCAGCAACCACAATTTACCTCCATGTTCCAAACATACAAACCAAGAGCAACCACCCGAACATCACCAGATCAACAATGCCAAAGCAGAGCACAGAATTCTTGGATTCGTGCAACTGAAATGGATCACTACAAAGGTAAGACGGCAACAACAAACACTGTCAAACACCGAATACACGCCAATCGACACAAACGCCAGGATCGTGAATAGAATGCCGCCAAAGAGGCCCGTTGATGAGCGGCTAAAAAAATTTTATAATAAGATAGTGAAGATGCTGGCTTAAAGGAAATTCACTAGCTATTTTTATTTAATTATGTTAATTTTTGGGATCGGTCCAAGCTATAGCACTTTAGTGCATCGACTATCCCGCCTACCCAGAAAATTTTTTTGCGCGCATTTTAAAAAACTAAACGAGGTTCAAGCCCGATTCTCTAACGAATACCAAAATGTTGCTCTAACAACATGTTTAATAATTAGTAAAACGTATATTTAAAATTACCTGCAGTCAATCCTCATCCGACTCTTCCTCTTCGCCCGCTGAGCCCCATGGCTAGGCGTATGATGCCCAGACCCAATCGACAACCACATTATAAACATTACGGCTGCACCAATAAGCGAATATTCCACTAAGATAGTGTTACCACTTCTAGAAAGCATCTCCTTACCAATGCAAGTCACAAAGAAGGTGGTGATATCCCCGAAGAAGCCCTCGGCATACAATTTTGATCTGACGTCTAACGAGCTGGTGGTTGTTTCGAGAATTTCTGCGACGGTGGTGGCCATCACATCATAGAGCTCCGTTTCATTGATTTCATGCTGTAATCAAATAATAATAATAATGCTCCTGACAGATCTTTAGATTTGAATGTGACGCAGCTCAATGTAGACCATAAAATTTCTCCCAAACTTTGGCCGTTTTATAAAAGCGGTACTACGTGGACATACTCTATTTACACTAGGTGTGCTCGCATAAAAAAAAATTGCACCCATAACTTTTGTGCTTTGGCACAAGACTTTAGTTTTGTACTGACATTGGCTGGAGTAACTCCGAGAAGATTTATAGAAACGGTTGCCTTTGGTGGCGCCGTTGTTTGAATTACTTGCCAGACAATACACACCCACCTTCTCCCGTATCACTTCCTCCTCAGATTGTGATGATGATGAGCGAAGCAGTTGAGCCTTCTTCTTGCTATGTTTACTCGCCTAAAATACCCGAATTGCCATCTATCCACCCCCACATACCGCCTTCACAATCACAAATCGCAACCAAGTAAACGCATTCACCGCCACCAAATGCATCATTCCAAATTTACTGATCGCCAACGAGGTGTTGAATGCCATCTGAAAAATCACACAATATTTATTTTAGACACCTTCCTCCCCTTAAGAGAAATTTCCTTTCCCGAACCTAACGGATAACTCTTTTTTTTGACACAACCCCCACCGCGTCACGGGGGGACATTTCTAAAAACCATTGAAACAGCTACTTCCTCGGCAAACACGTCTGTTCGAATTTTATGTTTGGGTCAAGGATTGGGAGCACCCGAGCACATGGCCCATGATGGTTTGGGGGATGGAGAAAAAAAAGAGAGGGGAGAGACTATACCGTACCTTTGAATTACAGAAAATGAAATGCATCTGCACGAAGATGAAGACGATCATCAGGATATATTGAACGATCGCGTAGCTTCCACCATCGTCGCGGATTAACAAGAATACTTCAAGGCCGAGAAGCACGATGCCGATCATTCCAAAAACTAAAAACATGCAATTTAGGCAATAGAATTTTAGAAAGGAACACTTACACATTGCTCCTAGTCTCAAGTATAAACTTCCAGCTCCTTCACCAGTGTGTGACGTTTTTTCGAGAAACCATTTCTGAAAAATCCTGATATAGAAAACTTTTAACCTTTACCTCTCCATCAATGATTCTCAGTTTACTCAAAAACTTTTGAAGCCATTTGAACCAGCCTGGATACAGCATGAATACATAGCAATACAGAAAGAACAAGCAGCCAAAGCCATACATCCAAATGTGGAAAAGCTTAACCATAATTGTAAGCTTTAGACTTCAAAAAATACCAATTCCCCGACTGCTAGACGATTCTTGACGGTGGGCGAGATTTCAATAACAATAGCGAATACCGTGATTATTAATGCGTAGAGGAGGCTCATCAACGAACATACAAATTGTCTACAAATACAGGTATTTGAGAACGTTAAGAAAACGTTACCTAGCATGCTGATTGTCAATCCATCGTCCATTCACTAGGTTCTCTGCTTCTTCTAGTGGGATAGTTTTTTCGTAGAAATTTGGGGGCATGCCTAGATAAATATAGGTTTTATTAGGGTATGATTTTCATACCAACTAAGGTGACTCTTCTTTCACGTTTTTCTTCTTCTGGGACTTCAATTTCAGGGCCTGATTCTAAGATTGATAACGACGTCGATGGGTCGCACATCTGAAGATAGGAATAGCGAATCAATTGTTATTCAATATTGAATTAGAATGGAAGATAATAACCAGCAAACGAAAGCCTTCAGTCACTCTAACACCGTATGCAGAAAAGAGTAATAACTCGTAAGTCAACTCCTAATTTAATGGCTTATCAGGGGAAAATTCGGACCCCTTTGTCAACATCCTGTTTCGGTACCATCAAGAGTCAACTAATAAGCTCTGTTTTTGGGTCTAACCCCTCGTCAAAAGAACACAAATAGGACCCGAACATGTGGGGAAGACTGTTGTACAAAACCGATTATATAAGCCTAAACGTTAACAGTTGAGCGGGTTGTTGACCCATTGGTGCTAGTGGATTAGCAATGGCTTGGTCAGTTTCCGATCTGAAAAACGTGGTGCGTTTTAGCAAACTCAGGGGAGGATGGTAGGCAACAAGTTGCAGGTGCACGTGGCAAGGAATGCTGCGGAACGGCTATCCGAAAAGTTATAAACCCGAGGGGGTTGGACGGGGGAGCTGAGAGAAGGGGGAGGAGGCTACAGTATGCCGTAGAAAGGAGGCGGAGAACGGGTACCGCCCACCGTTTCGTTTTGGTGGATTCGGCATGAATTGAGTGCAGGGGGTTAGACTGCAAAAGGTTGGGAGGTGGGGCTCGGAACAACATTTGTTTAGTTTTGACGCGCAATTTTGGGGCGGGGTTGAGGCCTTCCTGGTTATAAAAACATGGTTTTTAAAGTGAAAAGTAGGATGGAGTGATCAAGATTTTAGAGCGTTACAGGGAAATACTAGACTGCAGACTTAGCATGAACAAAGACGAAAAAGAGCTTTTAGGCCTTGATAAGATTTGGATTCGATGGAGTCCGAAAAATTCTTTTTCATTCTTTTGAAAAGCAAAGAAGTGTAATAAGCCATATGAACACTACAAGACGCTGAATTCTTTTAGCTAATAAAATCCGTTTTAGTTCTTATTAGCATAGCAGATCTTTCATCGGTTAAAAATCCTTAAACGGTTACATATAGCTTTAATTTTTTGGGATGATAGGGGCGGATATACACACTTTAAAAAATAAACAACACCATACTAAGTTAATTTCCGGACTTGAATCTCGAAGAAGGAAATCAAGCCTTATTGGTGTGAATATGAAATCAAATTTAAATACGATAATAAATAGTCTAAGTATGAAAATAAAGATATCGTTCTTGTTGGAATGACAGATAGATATATAGCGCTTAGCATAATTACATTATTTTATATTTAACTAAATTCCGAACTCGGATTAGAAAAAATCAGCTTCAATCTCAAGTGGAGTGAATGCGATACCAGATCTTAATTCCGCTAGGTTCAAATGAAATGGTGGGCTGGGGCGTGACCGAGCGATTTATAGCTGAACGGAGGCGGGTAGGGAAGAGTAGCTAGGTAAGTAAAAAGAAGAAGCGCTTGGGGGGAGACCTCCATCAGCTCCACCCCAACACCTCGGCCCAATGCACGTTTGATCCCAACCCCCCAGAAGGCCCCCGCTAACCTGTACAGCCCCCCACCACCCAAATGACAATCACCTGTTGACTATTCCGCCTGTTGACTATCCACAGTTTCCAGCACCACACCCCCCCCTTGCCAATAGTTTTGTAATGGTGGCAGGGGAGACTCGATCCGGGACAGCTCTGTTTGGCTGAAGACTGGTTCCCTGCCAAGCTGCCGGCCCAAAGAAAAGAGTAGCTAAAAGCGACCCCCATCAACCCTTCTCAGCACCCCATTTCTATTTGAATACGATGAATTGAGGCCAAGAGTCCAGTGGCAATGCCCACACCATCCGAGACAATGATATTTTTGATCTGTTTGTGAAGGGTAAGAGGTTTCGTGGTGGAAATGAGGAGCTATTTTAAGGCTTATGGGTCAATTAGGAGGGTATGAGAGGAATGATACTTATCATTAAGAACGAAAGACTTATAATCGCTTCCATAAAAAACGGCTAATTTCTAACTAAAGTATTTTAATAGTTCTTGATGCAAGAGTCTTCTTCTTCGCTCATTTAAAAGCATTACAAGCATTACTTCGTGAAAGGTAGAGACGTTTCGTGAGGGAAATCATAGACTTTTTAGGCTGATTATTAAGGTAAAGAGGCTTCTAACAGCTCCAATAAAAGTACTTAAGGCAGAATTGGTATGGTTTAATAGTTCTTGCAAACGCAGCTCCGAGCCGCCAAAATCTGGTTTGTCAAGAGTAGAGAGGTTTATGGATAGAATCCAGAAGCGATTGCAAGCCGATCATTAAACAAGCAAAAATTCATACTTGTGACTAAAATTAAAAACTTAGAACACCTCCACTACAAGCATTTATTATAAATTTAGCGTATATCGATAGCCGCTGCATAAAAACTGCGTTTCTCTCTATCACTTCAGCAAATTTCTCGCAATCTTCCCGGATTTGGTCTTCGGTAGCTCTTCCAGGATAACAATCCCTCCGCGAAGTTGCTTGAACGGGGCAACATGCTCTGAAAAAAGTTCAAAAAAGTGTCGTAGGGGAAGCCGAAGGGCATACAGACTGACGTATGCGCAAAGAGCAGAGAGTTGCTGCAGTTTTAGCTCAAGATGGGGTGCACGGAAAGGTCAGGGAATTGATACGTGTTTTTCGGGGTGGAAGTGCACGATGGACCCTTTTATAAAGATTGTGGAGTGGTGTGTTTGATTAGTAGTTCATGTTGTAGTCAGAAGTCAGACTTAGGGTATCGGACTGCAAACAGATCAAAAGTTTACGAAATTAGGAAGTTAGTGGGATAATTGATAGTGAGTCATGAGTTCGTTTTTGAAATATCGAAGTCGTAGGTCTACTAGCCATTTTTAATTTGGTAAATAATCAGCCGAAAATCACGCTATTACTCCAAAAGAGCTATAAAAGCTAAGCTGAAAATTTCCATTTTTTTTTGACATTTTCCGTTATTTACCTGTTAAGATCACACCTTTCAAAGTATGCAACATTTGCAACGTCCACAGCACCAGCTAGTTGCCACACTGTTCGCCTATCTATAGAGAAAACGAAGGCCATTCGAAGGCCACTCTACCACTCTTCTACTACCTCTATCCCCTCAAACCCTCCACTTAATAACCTTCAAAATGTTACAGATATACCTCACGGCTCCACCGAGACACAGTTCACACACACTTTCTTGCGCGTTTGAACTCGCGGGCAGAGTGGTGCTGGTGGTGAGAATTTCTGGACAAACAGATAATCGGTACATGGACACACGGGGGCGACCTATGGCTTGGGTTGGTGTGACGACAAAATTGAGGAATGGTGGGGTACGGTATAGGGGGCAGGCTTTACCTTTCATGAAATCGTGGATTTCTTTTGGGTCTATGGAGCATCCATCGGTTGGCACGAGAAATGCTTTTGGTACTTCACCATATTGTTCATGGCTGGTTCTGATGACGGCGGCTTCAGCAATTTTTGGATGGGTGAGGAGGACGGATTCCTGAAAAGTAGAACCTTAATGTATATAAGAATTATACTGCCAACAACTATATTTTAGCTTTAATTATTATAAAACGCTCAAGGCTTTAAATCACCTACCAACTGAACCGGAGCCACTTGCATACCGTTAACCTTTATCAAATCCTTCTTCCGATCAACGATATAAAATAGCCCATGAACATCCTGGTAAGCGATATCCCCTGTAACGATATTTAGATGCTTGTCTGCCAAATTTACCACTCGCTAACCACCCATCTTCATCCTTCCCGGAATCTTGACCGCCTTTATAACCCTTGAAAATGGCTTCCGACTTCAAAAACAACTCTCCCCAAGCCCCACGCTCCTCAACTATCTCCCCATCAATATTGATCAGCTGAAATTGAAGGAATCTACATAAATACAAGCTAATTAATACCTTCGCCTCAAAACCGGGCAAAAGTTTGCCGCAACTTCCCCAGGATTCCTTCTCACTCTCGATTGGCAATATATGAGACAAAACCACAATTTCCGTCATGCCGTACCCTAAAATTGTCTAGATTAAAACGAGAATTTTTTCGTTACCTTGTACTAGAGCGGTAACTTGCGGGAATTTAGCCATAAAAGCTTGGCACAGTTCTTTGCCAAGTGGAGCTGAACCGCAGAGGACCACTTCCAGGGATGAAAGGTCGAATGATTCATTTGGTAGTCGGACCAAAGCCGATACAATTGATGGAACCACGTTGATTACGTCCACCTAAAAATAAGGCTCTAGGGTTACAACAATTATCGTTTAATTGGTCAGTACAAATCCGTAGAATTTTTCAGACCAAATACCTGATGTTTCTCAATAGCTTCCAGCATCAATAATGGATGAAATTCCGACATTATAACGGAATGGTGCCCAGCCAATAGGCAATAAACCAGCGCCCAAAACCCCGAGCCATGATAGAATGGTAGAAAGGCGAGTGTACATCTTCGACCCTTTCCGGTCAGCTTGGAAAATAATGCGCTGAATTTTTCAGATTCTAATGTCATGAGATCCTTACTCTGAAAGTGCCTTCGTAGCTGCTATATAATTTTGATGAGTCAGCTGAACACATTTCGGGTGGCCGGTCGTCCCACTACTAAAAATAAATTAGCTGACGTTAGTTTCCAGCATATTTTTACCTAAATGGTTCGATCAAAACATCCTGTAGGTCAGTATCGGGGTACATTAAAAATTCGTCAGATCTTGTTTCCGCCATTTCTTGCAATTCAGCTAATGTTATCACCTTAGAATTTAGATTAATTCAGAATTTCTTTCTTGTAAAACCTTCGTCTCAATTCCCAAATCGAGAGCCGAGTCCGTGATCACCAACCCAGAATCGGCCTCCTTGCATAAATATTTTATCTCTTCTGAAAGTTGAGATCTACAAGGTTCTCAAGTTCCATTACAATATGCCAGGTTGCAATCCAATATTTAGATTTGCTTACCAACAGTTAGATAGACACTCCCTCCAGATATTGTCGCGCCAAGCAATGCCGATCCCAGGAATATTAATGGATATTCTTTGCAATTTCCCAGGATCAATAGAACATTGCTTCCTTTGTTGATTCCAAGTGATGAGAGGGCATTTGCATATCGATTTGCCAGTCCATTTAGCTCATCATAGGTGATTGTGCCCGAGTGGTCAGTTAATGCGTTGTCGTTACCATATTGTTTCGCATTTTGTAATATTTGTTGATGGAATGGGATCGTTGAAGATATTATTAAGTCGGACATGGTAGCTGGATGAATACTGCTGAGGGAGAGGAATGGGGCAGGAATTCACGGTTTTGGGCGGTAGTGGTATATTGGCTGCAATTTTTATGTAGATGTTGGAGAGAAGAACGTGTCGGGGCCTGTGTTGCTAGGGAAGGCGATAACGTTTTTGAAGAAAATAAAAATATAAGGGAATATATTCTTCGCCTGGTGCGTGTGTATGGGCAATTTGCAAAATTCGGAAAAATGGGGCTATCTGGCGAAAGTTCAAGAATCCTATTACCTAGTATAGAATGTATTTAGGGGTAACCGATGATCCATTTTACCACAACCAGACCAAAGTTTCGGAAAGGCTTGAAATTTATGATTTCTTTTATGACTTGAAAACATAGTAAAAATTCCTGATTTGCATGCAAGAGCTTTCGGCGGTGGTCTCATGTCTTGTTTCCCGTGCAGCTGGTTGTTCTTCGTTTGTTATCTAAATTCGTTCCAATCCTGCAAATTAAAATATACAAAGTGTGTGACAGGCAATAATGCTGCCGAAATTTTGCGACGTGGCAAAGCGGTTAAAAACTGAAAGCTATAAAATACAAATAGCACATGAATTTTAATTTTATTTATCATAGATAGCGTTTGTGTATTCTATTTCTTTGTCCCTCCGATGATGGAAAGCGTCCCGGGCGCATCTGTCGTTGGGATTTGTGTGTACTCGGGGGTACTTGTAGTATTCAAAGAGTGTCGATGGATGGCTGGATGGATGGATGGATGTGTTTGGTGGATTGGAGGCTATTCGTGTCCCACTCACGACACAATCCAAGCCCCGAATGGCACGGTTTCGATTTCAGCTACCAGCCTCGCATGGTGTTTCCCTCTTCACAGCTAACACCGGGCCCATTTGTAACCGGAAACCGGAGCTTTTCTCGGGGTCGGGTGAACGCTGTGATTTTGTTGTTGCTGTATTTTAAAACGAGAATGCTGAATTTTGACGAAGCCTATGTGATCCGAGGAATTCTGTAGTCTAAATTTAGTAGTTTTTTGCGCATTGGCTGCTTGCCAATGGTGGAATTTGCTGAAGTTTGCCTTGAAGCTATGTACGTTTGATCTGGTCATCGCGTTTTGCTCGTCGTTTTGCGCTTTGCAAGTTATATTTTAAGAGTCAGTAGCACAGTTGTCTAAATTTTTATGTATTCAAAACATAGCTGATAATTTTAAATCTACTTTTTGAAAAAGAAAATAATAAGTTATTCGTTCTTGTATTAGTTGCCTACGTCTATAGATTTGCCATCGCGCTTCCAGACTCTTTGTTTCCAGTCCACCTTTTTTTTAGAAACCAATATCCCTTCAAAAAACCCTTTTGGTTTCCATTTCAGCCTCCACATCCGCTGCCATATCCTAGCCACTACCTGCCCCTATTTGTTCAGCGTGAAGCCCGATTTTTCGCGTCGCGCAAATAGCCGCGTTTTTCGGGCTCGGGAAAGCCGGCGGGAAAACCCTTGCCAAGATCCCAAACGAGCACTTCCTCAACCCATTAACGTCTATAGTTACAACCCTTTGAACAGCATGCAACATGTAGAAATTCATTCCAGGTGCACCATGAAACGCAAAAATAGTCAATTTTACGCAACTTTTAGAGCTACATAGAATTGTGTGTCTAGACCCTAAATACTGTTTATCGAAGTTCTGAAAAATGACAGATTCAAAATGTTAAACGTTTTTCTGTCTAGTCGAGAGTCTATTTTTGAGGATTTTTGTTTTCCAGGTTTTCAGAATACTGGAAATTTAAGGTCTTAAATTTCTCTGATTCTGAGAGGAGATTTTTGTGGTGGTCAGATAACAAAGTTTGTTGTCAGGTTGGTGCAGACGTGAGAGAAAAACCTGGTTATTGGGGATAGCGGACAGCTGGGCCCTTTGAGGGTGCCCCTCCCCCATTCTTGCCTCTTTGGGCCATTGTAAAGCGAATGGTGCGCGAGCGTGCCAGGCTTCATCCCGCCGCCACCCTTCTTCCACCCCCTGCAGGCACATTTTCCGGTGTCGATCCCGTTGCGACGTTTTTCTAGCACCCCTGGGGTATCAATACTGGTGTTTGACATTTCCTGGGATTGCAGATTGGGTTATGTCGTTTTTAATGGCAAAGGAAAGGGGTATAGTCCCCCCTATCGGTCTAGAGTAGGCTTGGATCGGAATGATTTTGATACCATTTAGCGGCTCTCGCAAATGCGAGAAAAAAAGCATGTCTCGTTCTCTTACTGGGAAAGCGCAAATCAACCCGGACTCAGAATTGACTGAAAATTTACAACCGTATAGAATCCACCACGCTGACCTCGTTTACCGAATTTGCTACAGATTTTAAAATTCTAATAGCTAAACTTTTGCATAAAAAAAGTATTTTCTTCAAAAAACATCAAACCCTTACTGCGCACCCAACCCCCTCCGCTTTTACCCCACTAATAACTTGGTGGTGGGTTGAGAAAGAGTGTTGTGAATTGTGTATGAAGGATGTTTGGTGTAATCCATAACATTTCCACCGCCATCCTCCTCCTCCCGGTCCTGTTGTTCCTCCCCCACTAATGCAGTCGTTTATTCCATTTGGACGCCTTTGACAATCGGTGGCATGTCGGGAGCTATGCATGGGATGCTTAAAGGTATAAAAATTTATATAAAATTTGGCAACATTAGATTGTTGGTTGTTGTATTGGCGTCCGTCCTACTGGCTTGTAAATTTAGTTTGTCTATTTAGCTAATTTTATAAAATATTAACTTTATTGCTGGCTCGCTCATACTAACACTTAACTCAAGAAAGAGCTCATGTATAGTTAAAGTTGTGCGTATGAGGACTCTCCGTTATGTTTACAAATACGTTGAAAAATCGTTTTCTGCATGTAGGCATTGAATTTTTATCGATTTAATTTTTTGAATACTCATTTTTTTCACTTTTCTGGATAACGTTGAATTTTAAGGCCACCTAAGAAAGAAAGGCATGAATTTATGCAAATTTGGAGCCACCCGATACGGTCGACAGATAAGATCCAATCTGCTGACAGCTAATTATCTACGAACGTTTTGATTGGTGGGACTGGCAATGGCAGCGTCTCTATTCATCCCCCTCCTTCTTTCCTACCAAACCAACCAACCAACCGGGGCAGAGGTTGACCCTGGACTAACATCCCTCTAGACCTGCCTCTAGACCCTGCCCTCCTCCTCCCCATACCCTGTGAATATCGATCAACCAACTGACCAGCCACCCCCCTTCTGGTCAGCGTCTTTTTTGGCCCCCTTTACCCACAGAAAGAAAGAAAGACCGACTTACAGTCAGCACGTACCTTTTCAACCTGTCCAGCCACATCTTTTGACAGGTTTACCACTACCCCCGGCGAGCAGACCATCCTCCGTCGGGGCTAGGTTTTTAAATTTTTGGCGATTTCTTGCCCTTTTCCCGCTCATTTTATTGTTTAAAATTTCAAACGTATTTTTGGCAGCTCAGTAGTATTATCTTCCGTAAAAACTACAGAAGACCATGTTGAATTTCTAATGATTTGTTTGGTACGTTGCCTGCTTGCGTTATTGCTAAAAAAAAATCGGCATTGTTTTTATGCATTCAGAATTATTAAAAAAACTCTAATAAAAACCAAATGGCGGGTTTATCTGTTCTGTGACTTCTTATCCCGTTCCCGTTCATTTTCTCCTGTGAAAAATCAAAGATTAATTTTTTATCTATTGAAAGCTATGAGCAAAAAATGCGCTTGAAAATTAATGAAATTTAATTAAATGAAATGTTTGAATTTCTAGCCATTTTTACTACCATTCGATCCTTTTGTGATTCAACAGCTGTTCAATTTGTTTGCTCGGCGTCATCTGATAAGAGAAAACTGATTTTTATAGCTTCCTCGGTTACCCGAAATAATCAAAAATACTGGTGTAGTGGAGATTTTTCGAACTTGACTTATTGTCACTTTCGAGCCTTCCCGCTTTTCTCCGGCTTTTCCGCCCCTGCTCAAACCACACGACACTTGTTTCTCCAAAAATGATCTATCACCCCTTCCACCCCATGTCTCATTACTAATCCTCATCCCCTTTTACCCCCTCTAACATCATACTCGTGCTGTAAACCGCGCTCCCTCCAAGACCAGTGGTTTCCCCCCTTCAAAACTCCTCGTTCTACCACCCTCCAGCCAGTACAATCGACCACGAAATGCTCCACTTGCCACCACCACCACCCCATCCAAACGCCGCATAAACCCCCCATTAATCCCCAAAAACAATGCCTCTTTTGTCGAAGCTTGTGTAACCAGATGGCCGTTCCCAAACCTCCTCTCGTCCTCCCAAGCAGCTGCTATTTGGGCTCGGGTTCCTCGTCGGCAGCTTCTCGCTTTTTTGGTCTTTTTGAGGTTTTCAAGGTTCAGCCGGGGACGTGCAGTCGAGGGTCTGCTATCGGGACGGCTCATCTTCACGCTGGGTTCGGGTCGGCCTTCGGCTTTTGTCTCTTACCGTAGAACATTTTTTATCGGCGGAGGGTTGAAGGAAAGACGGTGTTTTCGATCGACTGTGTTGAGTCACTAAGCTGACGGGCTTTGAAGTGACGAAAGGGCTAGGAATATTATAGATTTTTGAGGTGTAAGCTGTCTATTGCTTAATTATCAAATTTATATTTATTAAGTGGGTTTTGCACCACTTCTAAATTATTCCCATCAAGTTTTTCGGCTGGAATTTCTTTTTTTATCTGCTACTATCTCGGTTTCCTTACGCTTTTATGGTTGTGTAAAAATGTAATTATTTTTCATTCCATTAACTATCACTGTTCTAAGGATTATCGAAGTCCACTCTTCTAATTTGCATGAATGGTGCCTATAAGAACTTTTTCTTTCTTTTTCTTTCCGTTTTCATAGCCACACCACGTCTAAGGAAAGCAGTGACCGTGCCCCAAGTATTTAGAGCAAATAACTATGCTTGCACCCGCTACGCTGCAGCCTTTGTTACGGTGCCAAGCTTTATTTGCCGCGTTAGACGATACCTTTCCGCCACCG